ATATAAATGACACAAAATATTCGAATAAAGTGCTTATATATATTTATAATTTTGTCCACATCATTTATAATTGTCCACGATTTTCATGTCATTTATAATATTGTTTAAATAAAAAAAAATGAAATAATTCCGTCAATCTTTTCCACACAGGTCAAATTCCATGTTCTTTTTTTTTTTTCACACGTAAGCATTTTAACACTGTGAAATAGCCATGTCACACTCTGAAATTGCCATGTGAGATGTTTTCGTTAATTAACATGACAGGTCAGCAAAATTTTAACGGAGGGACTAAAAAAGGGCCGGATTTTAAAATTTAGGGATCAAAAAGGTGATTTTTTCGGTATAAGGACCAAAAAGGGGCTTTTTCTTATAGTAGAGGGACCAAAAAGGGTATTTAACCTAATTTCAATTGTTCAAATAAAATTAGAATTTATTAATTTTGGTACTTAATTAATCTACGGTCTCTGTGGGATGATACTATATTTTCATCATTATATTACTTGAACGGACTAGTACACTTGCTAGAGTGGAATTAGCTCATCAAGTTTTTGGCGCCGTTGCCGGGGACTGTATTGATTCTAATTAATATCAAGCGGATTAATTCTAGTTTTAATTTGGATTTTTTTTTATTATTTAGCAGGTGTGCAAGTTAGTTCATGACTTATTCTGAAAATACAGAACTTGCACCTTTTGATCCTGAGATTGAGCGCACTTTTCATCAATTGAAAAACCAGAGGACAGCACTCATTGTTAAGCCAATTGACATCATGGTTGAAGATCCAATAGCAAATCAAGCCATTCGAACATTGAAGGAATATGCTTCACCTTCAATTGAAGGAACTGTTTCAAGCATAAGGAGACCAGCTATCTAAGCAAATAATTTTGAAATTAAGCCAGCAATAATTCAGATGATTCAACAATCTATGCAATTTTGTGGGTTGCCAAGTGATGATCCTAATGCTCATATTGCTAACTTTTTAGAGATTTGTGAGACTTTTAAATATGGAGTTTCTGATGATGCTGTTAGACTAAGGCTTTTTCCATTCTCTCTACGAGACAAGGCAAAGAATTGGTTAAATTCTTTACCTGTTGGGTCGATCACCACATGGGACATGACGGCTCAAAAATTTTTAAGTAAGTTTTTCCCTCATGCTAAAACTGCTAAGATGAGTAACGATATTGCCACTTTTGTGCAGCTGAATATGGAGTCATTAAATGAGGCATGGGAGAGATACAAAGAGCTACTCAGGAAGTGTCCACATCATGGTCTACCTATATGGTTACAAGAACACACTTTTTATAATGTTTTATTTCTTAATAATCGTACCATGTTTGATGCTGCTGCTGGAGGATCATTAATGAGTAAACATGCTGATGAGGGTTATAACCTCATAGAGGAGATGGCTTCAAATAGTTATCAATGGGGTTCAGAAAGATCACACATTAAGAAAAATGCTGGAATTTATGGGGTTGATGCCTTTACTGCTTTGACAGCACAAATTGAGGCTTTAAACCAAAAGTTAACTAGGATGAATGTCTCAACTATACAAGCCACAAGCATTAATTGTGACTTGTGTGGGGGAGCACATCCTAGTTCTGAATGTCTAGAAGGTAATTCTTTTATTTCTTCATCTGAACATGCTAATTTTGTTGGTTTTAATAAGCAGCAAAATAATCCATACTCCAATACATATAATCCGGGATGGAAGAATCATCCAAATTTTTCTTGGAGTAACAACCAAAATATAGAAAGCAACCTCCAGGATTTCAGCAACCACCTGAGAAAAAATCAGATTTGGAGGATTTGTTGAAAAAATACATTGCGGTTAATGAATCAAGGTTTCAAAGTCAAGAAGCAGCAACCAAGAGCTTGGAAGCTGCAGTCCAGAACCAAGGTGCATCAATTCGGAATTTAGAGGTTCAGGTAGGTCAATTGGCAAGTGTAGTTTCTGGAAGAGCACAAGGAGCATTACCAAGCAGTACTGAAAAAAATCCTAAGGAACAAGTGAAAGCTGTAACATTGAGAAATGGGAAGCAAATTGGAGATGAAGAAAGCTCAGACAATGAGGGTGAAAAAGAGAAAGCTCCAACGAAAGAGAAAAAATCTGAAGTGCCATCTAAAGAATCTGAAGAAGTCAAGTCTTATGTGCCTCAAATTCCTTTTCCACATAGATTGAAGCAACAAAAGCTAGATAAGCAATTTGCTAAGTTTCTAGATATTTTTAAGAAATTGCACATTAACATTCCTTTTGCAAATGCTTTAGCTCAAATGCCTAGCTATGCTAAATTCTTAAAGGAGATCTTATCTAACAAGAGGAAATTGGAAGAGTATGAGACTGTGAAACTCACTGAAGAATGTTCTGGAATTCTTCAGAATAAGCTTCCCCCAAAGCTAAAGGATCCAGGGAGTTTTACAATTCCCTGCACAATTGGAAATTGTCATTTTGATAAAGTTTTGTGTGATTTGGGAGCCAGCAATAATCTAATGCCATTTTCTATTTTCAGGAAACTTGGGCTTGGAGAGGCAAAAGTAACAACAGTATCTCTTCAATTGGCAGATAGATCTATCAAACATCCACAGGGTATTATGGAAGATGTCCTGGTAAAAGTAGATAAATTTATCTTTCTTGCTGATTTTATAGTTTTGGACATGGAAGAAGACCATGAGGTACCTCTTATCTTAGGCCGACCTTTTCTAGCCACTGGTAGAACTTTAATTGATGTGCAGCAAGGAAAATTGATGCTTAGGGTAGAAAATGAACAAGTTACTTTTAATGTCTTTGATGCCATGAAATACCCATCCGATATTGACTCTTGTTTTATGATGGAAACAATTGATGAAACAATTAATGAGATGCTGCAGGAATATTGTCTAGACTTGTTGAAGGCATGTGTTGTTCATTCCAAAGACATTACTGCTGAAAATGAGGACATTAGGGAGTATGCATTTCATTTGGAAGCTTGCCCACTGTTCTTGAACTCAAAGGAGCCAAGTATTCAAGATTTTAGAGCTAATATGCCTCGGTTTAAACCATCACTTGAAGACCTCCAAAACTTGAACTCAAGCCTTTACCTGTTCATTTAAATATGCTTATTTAGATGAAGATCTTTCTTTGCCTGTAATTATTTTTTCTTCTTTGACAGGTTTAATGGAGGAAAAGCTTCTTCGAGTTTTAAGGGAGCACAAAGGAGCATTTGGATGGACAATAACCGACATAAAAGGAATTAGTCCCTCAATTTGCATGCACAAAATAATCATGGAGGAAAGCTACAAACCGAGCATTCAACCACAAAGGCATTTAAATCCACACATGCAAGAGGTAGTGAAAGCTGAGGTAATAAAATTACTTAATGCTGGAATTATTTATCCTCTTTCTAATAGCTCATGGGTAAGTCCAGTCCAAGTAGTTCCAAAGAAAGGAGGTATGACGGTTGTTATGAATGACCATAATGAATTAATTCCTACTAGAACAGTAACTGGTTGGCGTGTTTGCATAGATTATCAAAAATTGAATGATGCCACTAGAAAGGATCATTTTCCTTTACCTTTTATTGACCAAATGTTGGAAAGACTTGCTGGGCATGCTTTTTACTGTTTTTTAGATAGTTATTCAGGATATAATCAAATTCCTATTGCACCCGAAGACCAAGAAAAAACCACTTTCACTTGTCCTTATGGTACTTTTGCTTATAGAAGAATGCCTTTTGGTTTATGTAATGCACCTGCTACTTTTCAAAGATGTGTGATGGCAATTTTTCATGACATGGTAGAGAAAATTATTGAGATATTCATGGATGATTTTTCTGTGTTTGGTGACTCTTTTGATGTATGTCTGAAACATCTGGACTTGGTTTTACAAAGATGTGAAGAGACTAACCTTGTTTTAAATTGGGAAAAATGTCACTTTATGGTATAGGAGGGTATAGTGCTTGGACATAAAGTTTCTCAAAAAGGCATTGAAGTTGATAGAGCAAAGGTAGAAGTGATTGAGAAATTACCCCCACCAACTTCCATGAAGGCTGTGAGGAGTTTCCTTGGACATGCAGGATTTTATAGGAGATTTATTAAGGATTTTGCTAAAATAGCTAAACCTCTTTCTAATCTCTTAGCTAAAGATACTCCTTTTAATTTTTCTGATGAATGTTTGCATGCTGTTAATATTTTGAAGGAAAAACTTATAAATGCACCCATAATGGTGGCACCAGATTAGAATCTACCTTTTGAGCTTATGTGTGATGCAAGTGATAGTGCTGTAGGAGCTGTCTTGGAACAAAGAAAGAACAAAGTTTTTCAAACCATATATTATGCCAGCCACACCCTTTCAGAAGCTCAATTAAATTATACAACCACAGAAAAGGAACTTTTGGCGGTAGTATTTGCTTTTGATAAATTTCATTCTTATTTGATTGCTATCAAAGTTGTGGTTTATACTGATCATTCTGCTCTTAAGTATTTGCTTGCAAAGAAGGAGGCAAAACCAAGGTTAATTAGATGGATTTTACTACTACAAAAATTTGACCTAGAGATTAAAGATAAGAAAGGGATTGAAAATTCAGTTGCTGATAATTTGTCAAGGCTTAAGAATCCTAGCCAAGAGGTAAGTGCATGCCCAATTAGGGAAGAATTTCCAGATGAGCAACTGTACACTATTAAGGTGACATCTTCTCCCTGGTTTGCTGACTTTGCAAATTATTTGGCATGTAATATTCTTCCTCCTGATTTATCTTATCAACAAAAGAAGAAATTCTTTTCTGATGTGAAAAATTATTTTTGGGAAGAACCTTTTTTGTGTAGATTGTGTGCAGATCAGATTATTAGGAGATGTGTCCCTGAAGAAGAGGTAGCTAGCATACTTCATCATTGCCATACTCGTGAAGCAGGTGGTCATTTTGGAGCCACGAAAACAGCAGCTAAGGTTCTACAATCAGGTTTCTATTGGCCTTTTATTTTTAAAGATGCATACTCTTTTGTAGTTTCATGTGATCAATGTCAAAGAAGTGGAAATATTTCTAGAAAAAATGAGATGCCTTTAAACAATATGCTTATATGTGAGTTATTTGATGTTTGGGGTATTGATTTTATGGGACCTTTTCCATGTTCTTTTTCCAATCAATATATTTTAGTGGCTGTGGATTATGTGCCTAAATGGGTAGAGGCTGTAGCCACTACAAGCAAAATGCCTTTTACTAACGGAAGTCTATACTGACAGATTGAAATCTGTCTGTATATATGGGTCTATACCAACGGAAACCATAAGCAGTCAATATACACGGATTTATACCAACGAAAAACATAAACAGTCAGTAATCATTGGTCTATACCAACGAAAAAAATATATCCGTTAGTATAGACTAGGTTTATACAAACGGTTTACTAATTTTTCGTCTATACAGAGTATATATATTCTAACGGTTATCAATATTCATTTGTATAAATCTATGTATACAGACGGATTCACTCGTTCTGTCTGTATAACTAACCGTTTCTTAAACATGATTTTTTCCTCTTTTATTTTAGCCGTCTGTGTACATTTTCCCTTCCCTCCACATATTCCCAATTTTCCTTCCCCAAATTCTGAGTTTCCCTCGCCTTGTAGACCTAAGTATTTCCGTCTCCCTCCTAAATCTCCAAAATTTGGAATCGATTTTCCTAAAACTCAAAAACCCATTCGAACCTAACTACAAAATTCAAAAGCTCGACTCTAATCACAGGAGGTCAGTAGGTGAGTTTGTGTTGATTTTGGGTGATTTCTTCCTAATCCTATGCATTTCTTCTATATTCATGGGTTGATTTCGTTCAAAAGACAAGTATTTGGGTTGATTTCATCCTCTTGCTAGCTTCCAATTCCCCCGAATTACACTCTCTAACCTGAGTTTCTCATCCACTTTTTTCCTACATCAAAATTGAGTACAACTTTAGGGTTTTTGAGATTTGTAAATCTATCTCTAATTTTATGCCAAGCTTTGGGTTCTCCTGTAATTTTGATTTGATTTGATGTATAGGAGGTTTCCAGTGGAGGAGAGGCAGTGGCGTGCTGCTTGGCTAAGTGAAAAGGAGGCTTCTGTTAAGGATCTGGTGGCAAAGAGGTAGTGGCATTACTAAGAGAAGAAGAAGGTTAGTCAATACTCCTTTGATTCTTCTTTTTCTTTCTTTCATCCTCCTTGCTGCCTTCCAATTTCTCACCCAAAATAGCTCGAATTTCACTCGCCCTAAACGAGGTTTCTATTATTTCTTGTATTTCTTCCTCTATTTTCATGGATTTGCTCCATTTTTCTTTGATCTCCGTTCATCTGTTTCCAAGTTGAAGAATTTGCTCCAAAAATTCAACAGGTGATAGACTGGTATTTTTTCAATGCAAATTTTTTTTTGTATATCTGTAGAGAATGAAATTGTTAATCTGCTTACTATATATGGATTGCTTCTGCATAAATTTTATGGAAGCTTTTAAATTCATGATAAGTACATTTGCTTTTATATCTCTTCTATGGAGCAAGAATTTTATAAAATGTCTCAAAAATAGATTCCTATTCTGGGTTTTAATTAGGGTTTACTGTAATTATTCTTGGGGTTAATCTCATCTCATGATTTAGGAAAAAGATGCGCTTGGTTTGCTGCAATAGAAATTGTGCTGAAATCATATGGTGGCTGACTTAAGTTGTTTAGTTATGCTTGAATTATATGCATTGATTTTTCCCCCCTCTTTTTATGAATATGGTTTATGTTATCAACACCTTCTATTATTTTCATTGAAATTTTCACTTATCCTCTCTTTTATCAAAAACTAAAAATTAGAGAATTCATAACCCTTTACATTATTTAGATGACGAAATTCATAGTACTTTCTAACTTAAAAAAACAAATAAGAAATATGTTTTGGCTTGGTTTTTATTCGCATTTTATAAAAGTGCCTTATTTTCTAAAGAGTGATTGAGTTCTATGAAGGGTTAAAACCCAAGGTTATACTAAGGCAGAAAAGAGAAGAAAATGGTTAGGGTCATGTTGCAGTTGAAGAAAATTGAGAACAAAGCATACAAACACATAAGCTTTGCCAAAAGGAGAAGTGGCCTTGTCAAGAAAGCCTATCAACTTTCAACTCTATGTGATGTGGAGGTTGCTCTAATCATTTGTTCCCCGGCCAGAAATCTCACTCTTTTTGAGGGAAAGAAAAGGTTTAACTTAATTTGTTTACATTTTGATGCACTAGTGAATAATTTTGTTGAATTTCATGCCTTCGATTGATTGTTGTTGCTAATAGGCCCATTTGGTATTGTGTGTTTTCTAGGGTAGAAGAGGTTCTGTCACATTTTATCCAAATCCCTGCAAAGAAGCACTAATGGTATGTGAATTTTGATAAAATGGATTATGTTAATTGGAAATTTAGCTATATATATGATTTTTTTAAATGAAATTGAAAACTGGAATGGTAGGACAATGTCGTGATCCATGGGGTGTTTTTTTGGTACATATCTGTGGTGTTAAGAATGAGCTATATATGAAATGAAATTGTAAAAGAGAATTTTATGAGAGATCAAAGAGTATGGAGAAATCTTGGAATTTTTACACTGATACAATTCTCTATGTGTTTTTCCATATACCAACTTTTAATTTGTCCACCTGTCATCCAATTGGAAAGCCTACCAAATCAAGAGGTAAGCATTTCTTCTTAATCCAAACAATTCTATTGCTAGTAATTGATTGCATGTCTTGTTGTCTTAATGTGACAAATGTATGTGATTACTCATAGTTAAGGCAGATCATTTCTTAGCTGAACCTAGAAGCTTGTGTCTACCATCATAACACAACTTCCTCAGGGTATGTTCTGCTGTCTCACTAGAGTATTCTGTTAAATTATTGTGAGTTTTGGTTAGGTGACTGATTTGGCCTTGTAATTTTGCTTTCCTTTATTGATCGTGGTTAGCAGTTGTGATAGAACCATTGGAATTGTGGGTGTTGATTCTGAATTGGAGGTATATAAAGCTGATATTAATATTATCTTAATTTTTTGTTAATTATTTTTTAATAATCACAGAGTAGAAATTGATCGCTTTCTTCAATGTAGGATGTTCAGAACCAAATCCTTATTTGCAATTTCCAGTTGTAGGATGTGGAGAGGGAACTATAGTATGGACTTATATATACTTCCATATCAGAATAATAAGTTTTCCTGGTATTACAATCTTAAACTTGTCCTAATGTAAATATCCTTTTGAAGGTACTTTGTAAAAAGTCCTAGCTGCATCAAATCATCGTGCGAGTTGGAATACCATGAGAAGATCTTGGAAGACACATTGCAAGTTGTCCGTATGCACAAGGCAAGACCTATGGTTAATCATAAACCTTTGCAATTTGTATAGCTTTCTTGTATTCTTACTGCCACTTCTAATATTATAGGAAGCTTTAAAAGCACATAACAGCATCCTTCTAACTCTGGACGTATGTGCGGATGCCATTATAGCCCATCTGATTGGTCCATTTTAGTTTAGCTAAGACATGAGAAGGGAAATTGTATTATAAAAGGTAAGAAATAAAATCTGCTTTTTTAATGATGTATACCTTTCTTCATCATATAAAAAAAAAAATCATTTTTGTGTTAAATGTCGTAGGAACAACTTAAAAACTACATGAGTGAATCTACTTCTTTTGCAAGTGCATTGGAGGACACTACATCTTGGCGAGATGATATACTCTTTAAGGTGAAGGGATCTGACAAGAAAGGGAGGGTTTGCTGCTTAGGGAAGGTCCCAACTTTTATGTGGTTATCTCTGCAACTAAAAGGACCGTAAGTTATCTATGTCAAATTTATAATTCTTTTCTGGTTCCAGTTCTCATCTTTCTTAAGAAATAAGGAGATGAGTTTTGACTTCAACAGTAAAAGAATGCAATCTTGTATCTGGTTAGCTTCATCTGTGAAAATTCATGGGTGGATGCATGTGGACAAAAAGAATAGACTAGACTTATCTTGGTGA